TATATATATATTATAGCTTATGATTTACTAAACAAAACATATAAGTTTTAGCGCCAAAAAATGAACAGTTTTCTTATTCAGTTCATCTACAGTCGCTGACATCTCACCATAAAATATTCGAATAATTTCAAAACAGCTGACCTAAAATAGATAAAATTACGATGTTTTAAAAAGATCTTAACAAGGACTATAAGGAAATGAAAGAAAAAGTGGGGAGTTTTACTTAAAAAATTCAAATTGATTTTGTCCTACCTTAGCGACGCCACCCAAAATCAAATTGATGAAGCCAGTGGCTAGGTCTTCTTTAAACTCTACAACTTTTATCTAAAACATTCTTTTACAAATCTTATAGTTTTCCGGATATTTTGCCGTCTCGGAACATTTTATGTTCCTTATATGATTATACCTATATTGTATAATGCCACATATAATTATATCCCATATATAATTATATACTATCATAATTATCTAATGTCCAAGATATGTACACATGTATAAAACGATACTTTATTACAAAATATGTAATGTATAGTAATTCCCTAGCGTAATCCAAAACTAACAACATGGACGTAGTAGGAGTCTAGTCCCATATGTGTGTGTGTGTGTGTGTGTGTGTGTGTGTGTGTGTGTGTGTGTGTGTGTGTGTGTGCGTGCGTGTGTGCGTTCGTGCGTGCGTGCGTGCGTGCGTGTGTGTGTGGGTGGGTATGCGTGTGCGCACGCGCGCGCGTGTTTGTGTGTATTCATGCGTGCGTATACGACATGCAATTATATTACTTAATAAAAAATTAATTGTTTCTTAATTATTTATTAAGTTATTTTCATCATTCAGATCCTGAGAATTACACTACATATTCTGTAACAAATGATCTCTTCATCAAAGTAAACTTGAATAATTGATATTATCTCTTTTCTATTATTATTTGTTTGATTAATATCAGTCCCCTTGTCCTTATTTTATTATTTACTTTTAATTTTATTTTTTATTCTCCAAACGAGCGGCAGTGAGAAACGTGCTACTTGACTCGAATCAATAATAATCATTGAAAAATCCGGGCTGTATTGATGATGGTACTTATTATTATTTTACTTATAATTACTTCTATCATTATTTTATTTATTATTTTTAGCCAATTGAAGTCGTGAAGCGAAATGCAACTATGGCAGCCTTATGTTGCATGTTATAAGGTTTATTTAAGTATTTTTTTCAAGTCTGTAGGATCATATGGAATCGAGATTGTTTATATCGCCTAATATTAGAAATAATAAAAATATTCA